TTGAAACGGAAAGTTTTAGACCTGTGCGTGTTCCAAATGTTAACCTGTGGATGCGAAACGTAGACCCCAAGCCTGGAAGCTGTACGAAATAGAGTAGGGAAAATGTTACTTTGGCAATAATAATGAAACAGAAAAACGAATGAATGGATTAAAGCACAGACAAGACTCTGCGATTTGATTGCCCTACTAAAGAAGCTAAAGTGACAATGGATATGACATGTTTCAGGAAGAGCCGACAATCACTAAACCGGAGAAGCATTACACTGAGTTCCAAGTTAGAGTAAACGTCTCGTGAGTAGACTTCAAGGTTGATTCTTCGGTGAACTAGTTCTTTGGATGAAGATGGATTAAACTTGCACAGAGTAGCAAAACAGTAGTTTATGGTAAAGTCATGAGAAGGACCTCGTCTAGCAGTCGATTTAAAACGTTTCTTTTTCTAGATCATTGTAATTCGTGAATGGTTACCATATTCACATTAATTTCATAGCATACTGCCTGTGGGCACTTTAAAACCTTCATGAATGGTTAATTCGAATAATTAGGAATTGTGACGTTTGAGATTTTTTGTCGTCAGCCTTGTTCTAAATCCGTAGACTGTTTAAGGTTCACGACGTGCGTTTAGTCTTTAATACCAGTACGTTTTCGGTGCGTCCTTAAAGAGTGATTCCTTTTCATTGACACCAGGTCGCTGTTCTGCACTTCAGCGATGACCATAGGCTGGTTATCGACCTTACGTAGTGTGGATGCGTCCCACATAGCGGCTGACGAGCAAGCGAAAATTGGTTCTTCTTCCGCAGCCTCATCATTTGGATCTTCTTGTTCATTATCTTCTACTCAACCATATCTTTCTTCTTTATCAATCTTCGTTTTTTTCTTCCCTCTTTGATTCATCAGTTCGTTCATCTTTTCTTCATTCTACTTCCCCCACTTCCTCTTCGATTCTGCTTTCCACTTCCTATTTCTGCGTCTTAGAAAAGCAGTGGACGGATTGTTTATCATTTTTATTTGTCGATGTTTATTTCATCTTTATTCGTTGCCTCGCTTCGGGAATAGTCGAATGATTTCGGCCCTATTTTACATTATTTATTTCATGTGACAATAAATTTACAACATGGTCATTTGCCAGTATGTCCAAGAGTTAGAAGAGTATATAAAAATGGCCAATCAACGCTGGTGACTAAATATTTTTGCACTTCTGTGGTCCCCTTTCCCATGTCCACTCTCATGATGGTTGCGAGTGCATCTCCGAAGTTTACTTTCCGCTTTGTGTGCTGATTTCTCTCGGGAGACGGTGACGATTGGAAAATGGTCGACGAGTTGCACGACCGATAGCCTTCGCGTTAGTAGCGCCTGTTCCTCCCTTAAAGCGAGTCGTGACTAATCACAGTTTCTCCCCACCCACCCCCCTCTCCGACGACGCCGACGCTGTGGAGATGGCTACCATAGCGCGACAGCTGATCACATGTGTTCACCCGTGGCTGCTTGTCTCTTGTCTCATCTGCTAATGTCGGCTACAAAGACGACAAACGATGGCGACCACTTCGTTAAAGAAAATGCTTTCAATTTGCCGTCTCTTTCTGCAAAACTTTTTGCTAACAGCTGCCATCGAGGAGAATACCGCTAAATGCTTCTTACGACCGGCGGCGTTCTGTATGGCGATTAACCATTGAGCAGTTAGAAATGGTTGTTTGTTTCATTTTTAAATACCAGCGTCGTCTATGTCTCGACGCCTTTTGTTTTTATCTGGTGATTTCCGTCGTTTACGCCTGTGCTGCGTTCATCAGCCACTCAGCTTCGAAGAAGGTAGCACGAAAGCGACCCTCAGAGGGCCAGTGATTGGTCTTTTGGGCCGCATGGAACGAATTATTCCTGAAACAAGTCCACAGCTTTCCGCAGTGTACAACCATTGTTGAAACCAAGCCGGTTTCCACTGACTTCATCGGGTCGTCTCGAAGATTTTCCTATTTAAAGTATTTTTCTTTGAAGAAGTAAAGAAATGCTTCACTCATTCACTCATATGCATCCGGTAAACGGGAAATCTGAATGAAGTAGAAACTGTAGAGCAATTAGAATTACGGTGACCATTTGACCTTATGAACCACCTTTTTTTGGATCAGATATCAGTTAGCTTGTCCTCAATCTAGAGTGCCTTATTTTGAAAGCAGTGCCTACATATAGGTACTGTAAGGTTTTTCTTTTATGTACTGGTATTCTTTGATTTACATCGGAATAATGAACCGCCAAGGACTTGGCCAGAAATTGACTGAAGATTTCTCCACTGTGCCCGAATAGGCTGACACCTTTGTACCGGCGATCCGTTACAAAGCAGGAAGATGCAGATGTTTTTTTTTTCATAGAGAAAAAACGGAAAATTTGTCCGATTGTAAAAGCTGCTGCGTGAAAATGTGGCACGGTTGTACAGTGTGTAAGAGGTGATCTTCTAATTCGAACTTCTCAGGCACTGAGTTTGATTCCTTGTGTTTAACACGAATTTCCATGAGGAAGCAATTTACCAGACGTTGCTTCAGACGGGGTTGTTTTGTCGGTAGAGCGTTAAACTTTCGTTCGATATTGATAAATGAGTACCACTCTGATAAATGAGTGAGAAGGAAACATGAAAATACAATCTATGCTTGTCATTGTCAGAAATGGTTGTCGTCGATTCTGTCTTTAAAGGAATAAGTCGCTTTTGGCTGATGACACGGAGACGGAAATCAGACCCAACATCACCATTAACTGGCTGCGAGAATTGACCTAATTATGAGTCAAAGAAAAATCAAGCATTCAAATGGTTAGAAGCTGTTTCGTTTTCCTTCCTGTGAAAATAATGGACATGGACACTTAAGACGATGGGAGATAAATCTGGACGTTTCTTCCGTTGCTGATCCCTAATAAGCTTTAAAAATCAGTTGCATCTCTATTGCTTTAGCTAATACATGTGGCCCATTTATCAAATCTCCATCTTTACGTCTGCCTCACCAAAATTCACAATTTTTATCGGATGCTAAGGCAAATCGCAATTTTTATGCGTTCGCTAAACTGTTTTCAGTAAATGATGTGTCTTTGCTAAGAACATGTAATAATTTGATGAAAAACGATGAAATCGCGTCCTTCATATTTATTTTTTTTCTCGACATTTGCCCGTGATTGATAGAGGAGTCACAACAATAAGTAAAATGTGCTCTTGACGTCGTCATTCTATCTTTTGAGCTTACATGACATCGACTGATGAAATGTTTGACAAGGAATCTTTTCGTGTCTCATTGCATGTAAATTGTCTCCGCCATTTGCATGCTCCTCAAAAAGCAAACAGAACGTGTCTTTTCTTGTTTTGCCTATACCTACATGCGTATGCGATCGTATTGCTATTTCTGTTTCGATTGGATTAGCGGTACTAACGATATAAATAATGTTGAATCTCAAGTAATCTAGAAAACACGTTTTGCAGCAAGTGATATCAAGTAGCTTACGAGTAAAAGATTGTTTTAAAATGTCGAACATTCTTGACTGACCATACCTTGACCTGGACATCAAGACAGATCTTGTACCAAGCATAGTTGTTCTGTTGTAAGCTTTACACGTATTTTAGTGCGTTCATAAAGGGCACGAAAAAATTTCATGATTTTAGTAAATATGGCCTCATTTTTTAGCAAGACCTGAGTAGTCTGAAACTTCGAACAACTTCTAATAAACTTATTCGGTTGTTTGGTTTTTGCACTAAGTTTCAACAGGTAGTATTTCGGTTTTCATTAAATTCTAAACTCACTGGCGGCGAAAACGACTGCATCGTGGCCATTAGTGAAGTGCACTTCAGAAACATTCTGCTGCCATCGTTGGAACTTCACTTCTCGTTTAAATGATGCATTTGTCGAGTACTTCGCGACGAAGCTTCTTTCAGCTTTTTTCTTGTTGACATATTAGCGTAAATCCGTCTGGCGGAAGTGCTATACAAGATGCACTAACAAAGGTTATCATGCAGTTGACATATGCTGTCACTGTTGTATTTACGCTCCACAATTTTCTTCGGCGTCTGCTTTGCGGAGAGCTGGCTAAGTACGATTCAAGATATTTGACTTAACCTTAAAAGAGTTTCATGAATATTTGAAATGGCTTAATGGAAAGCCAGCCAGTCGAGGACTGAGAGAACTTATTCTTAATTTTAAAGCAAATTTGCCAAGGGAGGACATTCATATAAAGCTTTCCTATTAATACCAAACGAATGCAGTTTACTAAAAGGACGAAATATCAATAACTCCTGCAAAAAAGCGGAAAATGTTTGATGGATGATATTCGAAAATAAACCGAAAAATAAGTACCATACGTACTTATTATCAAGGCATAGAAACTCCTTCGAAATAATATTTTTTCGCTTTTGTGTCCTTTCGTCATAATTTTTAACGTAGGTTGATATTTGGCAATGTTAATTATTATTTGCTAACCCCCGTATGGATGCACTGTTCCGTCTGTTCAGTCAGGCCACACTTCTGCACAACACGGTTTTGAGAATCAGTCGCTCCGGTTTATTCCATAAGGCTACTTGCATCAACGTGTTGTTGCTCGGTGGTTCATGACAGTTGCAATGTGATGAGGATGTGATTTCACCACTGTATTCTTGATGGCAATTTACGATAATGGCAACTGCATTTGGCCAATAGTATTGATTGATTTCAGTTATCCGTTTAAACGGATTGATTGTTTACACTTGAATTGTATATTCTGTGTACGTTTGTTTAACGGTATAAATTTTCGCGAATGCGATTACCAGCGCATTAAAATTTTAGCAATGAAAGAACAACAGACTGTCGTCTTACCTGATCGTCGTTGGATTGCGATGAGCAATGTCGCAGTTATCATCCTAGCGTTTTATTGAACGGGGTTTCCTGCAATATTTCCGGTACTTTCGTCGATCGTTGGTCGACGCGACGTTTGTGTGTTAATGACTGGCTATTTTCAGCAACTACCATTTCGTTATTTGAAGTTTCGAGCGTCGTTACTATGAAATGTTACGCTTCCTGAGTCGAAGATACCGAGGACGAAAGGATGTACGTGACCAGAAGGCGGTGTCATCATCGACGTCTACTTCTGAAAACGCCGAAGGTATTATTTTCGTCGGTGATGCTGCAGAGTCGAAGAACTACATCATCTGCAAGGTGATTCTGCTGGATGGTAGTGAACTGACCTTGGCATTGCCGGTAAGTGTCATAACGATGATTTGAAAATTTGGAGAAGGAAGGTAATAATTAAGGAAAAAGAGTAAAATACTTATAACGGATGTGTATGACAGCCATATAGCTTACTTTAATCCAGCGTAGCAGTGTTCGTTCGCTGCAGAACTAACATTGTGGTCCCAGTCTCGAAAAAATGATAATGTTTAATCTGCAGGTCGCATGCCAGCGGGAACTGCTGTTTTACATACATTTTTTTGCCATGAAAATTCATGAACCCCGGAACGATTAGCAAATGCGACATATGCAATCACGGATTTACAAATAGAAATCGATTTAGCGAATTGTTGTCTCTAGGAAAATGATTCTTTCGT